TGGTCTTATAGAAAAAGACTTGTAAAATTTTATGACAAAGTTGAGATATATTTATATTTTTATGAGGCATAAAATATTATTTGCATAATTTATTACTTACTATATATTATTTCCTTTGTATGTATATAAATTAAATGCACGATTTCAACTGTTCTCTGTTTAATTAATAAATAAAATATTTTTGTTTTAGTAAAAAAAAGGACTTTTCTAGCTAGTTTAATCAGAAAAGAAGTCTTCTCTACTATCTATTTATTATTTACTTACAAGTCTATGCCTTTGAATTAATTAATAAGCTTAACTTTAAGTATTTCTTGTCTTTTCCTTTATTATTCAATCATTTCTCTAAATCTATTAAAAAGACTATGGCTGGGATATTTATATGTTACGGTTGAGTTAATTAAGTTATCCGACTAAGTTATTTATACGTTATGGCTGAGTTAGTTAAGTGATTCGGCTGAGTTATTAATATGTTGTGTCTAATCTTATCTGTATTCATTTGGACAGTGGATTATTGGAAATCATATAAGACTCTGTTCACTTTCGGGTGTTACAAGTATTTGCCTTTCTTCCTTCGAAACGCAAACTGCTTTTTATTGGGATTTCAAAGATTAGCAGGAATATTTTGGTTCAACATCGAAGGTCGCATTTGTGTAATAGGTTTAAATGCATCTATAATTCTCTGTTCACTTTCGGGTGTTACTTGTCGAATGATTGGATCATAGCAGTCAATATTCTCCTTAAACAAATCCACGTGAAACGCCACCCAATGATCGCCTGAAGTTTGAAGCACTCCACATCATCATAACACTTCAAGTTTGTAGGATAGTCTGTGGGCATCCTACCGTTTATTAACTCTTCATAGCCATTATTTTGAAATTTGAACTACGACGGATTTAGCTTTTACTGCTTGTTATCGTGAACCCATACACTGAGAAACCAGACGTCAACAAATGCAATGCGCTTGAACCAAAAGGGGGTGGGATCTCACATGGACCTTTTGATGAGGACTCGCATAAACAAATTAACATGCTATGCAAAAACACAAAATCAAGTCAATCTATAACTCAGCCGTAAAAACACATAACTCAGCCACATAGTATATTTAACTCAGCCACAAAGAATACTAAACTCAGCCACATTGTATACTTAACTCAGCCACAAAGAATACTAAATTCAGCCACAAAGAATACTAAACTCAGCCACAAAGAATACTAAACTCAACCACATTGTATACTTAACTCAGCCGTAAAGAACACGTAACTCAGCCACATAAAATATATAACTCAGCCAAGGAATACTTACATCATCATACATCCATCCATATTTGTTGTCTGGCCACGGTCTTGGCGTGACGATGATTCTTTAGAACTCACCCTCATGGGACGCTGTTTTTGAAATGGGAACGTCCTTATGTTTCTCTAGGTGTTCTTTAAGTTTATCCAATTTTGCTGGATCAACAGGTGCTAAAAGGTCATATATTACTCGTGAAGGTTCAAAATTTTTCCTCATGCACGTCGTTCCATTGTCTCCAATGTGAGAAAAAACTTGTGATGAAGAAGCATTATCAGCGAGTTGCGATGCACACCCAGTTGCAGATAACTGAACATTTTTCTCCCGATATTGATTTATTCTTTCAGATCTGATCATATCCTCTTCCTCCACATCATACTCCGGAAGCGCTTCATTTTGTGATGCGAAAAATTCGTCAGTAACATCCGCAAAATCACTGTCGGCTTCATCTGTTTCGGCTGAGGTACAACTATTGTTATTAAACCGCGACACGTCACCCTTTTTGTGACCTGTTTCTTTAACTCAGCCTTCTCAACATTCTTTAACTCAGCCTTCTCTTTCCTCTTTAACTCAGCCGCCTTCTTTTCCTGAGCCTTCCGTTGCCTTAACTCAGCCGTCTTTTTTCTCCTTAATTCATCCGCCTCTTTCCTACTTAACTCAGCCGTTTCGTTCTTCTTAGGAGACGCCTCCTTTTTTCCTAACTCAGCCGTTTCGTTCTTCTTAGGAGACGCCTCCTTCTTTCCTAACTCAGCCGCCTCTTTCCTACTTAACTCAGCCGTTTTTTTCTTCTTAGGAGATGCCTCCTTCTTTCTTAACTCAGCCGTTTTGTTCTTCTTGGGAGATGCCTCCTTCTTTGCTAGCTCAGCCGCCTCCTTCTTCTTTGCTAACTCAGTCACCTCCTTCGTTGCTAACTCAGCCGCCTCTTTGTCCTTCTCTTTAACCTCATCTTCTTTTAGTTTTAACCTTACCATGTTTTTGGGTCCTAAGGCTGAGTCCTTTGCAGGAGAAATAGCAACGAAATCAACGTCGTCAACCAAATTCTTTTCCACGGCCTTAGCAGGTGTACTGTTGAAAGAGGCCGTAACATGTGAACTATTGACAGAGGCCTTACCAGATGGACTATTNTGTTTTTGGGTCCTAAGGCTGAGTCCTTTGCAGGAGAAATAGCAACGAAATCAACGTCGTCAACCAAATTCTTTTCCACGGCCTTAGCAGGTGTACTGTTGAAAGAGGCCGTAACATGTGAACTATTGACAGAGGCCTTACCAGATGGACTATTGAACGAGTGCTGCGAAAAAGACTTCGGCGGTGGCGGTGACGGTGATGGCAACAGTAAAGATTCTTCGGGAACTTTAGAGAAGTACTCCTCCGCTGCAACTCTGACTAAATCAGCAATGTTCGTATCTCGGGACTCGATATCTCTAGACTCGATTCTGGATAACCACGCTTTAAATTTTTTGAATATGTTATCGTAGCTGTCTATTTTTGAGGCAATTATATCCAGAGTATACATTAATCTCAACATCATCGGATTGTTCCCAATATCATCCGTACCTTCCTTCTTGCAAGCACCTTTTCCCTCCACAACAGCTTCATCCTCTTGGAAGTTGCTCACTTTTTTCTGCTTCTTAATGGGTGGCTCAGCCTTTGACGAAACACCAACCTTTGTTTGTTTGTGTTTCATCTGCGTTACCCAAAAACCTCTAACAAACCGACATGTATATATGTCTGTTATCAAGTTAACAAGTTGCGGGTCATCTGCTTCATCCGGCCACATCATCTCTTTTACCGAGTCCTTCATAACCATTTTTCTCACGCGCACCTACAAAACCAGTCACCAAATACATAATAACTCAGCCATCAAAGTACTAATCACTCAGCCGTTAAAACTAATAACTCAGCCATAAAATAACTAATAACTCAGCCACACAGTACCAAAACCCAGCCACCATATAAACACTATCTCAGCCATCAAATAACTAATACAAAAAAACCCAGCCATTATATACATACTAACTCAGCCATCAAATAACTAAAACCAAGAGGCTGGGATAGTGTTTATATGGTGGCTGCGTTTTTTGTGCTTTAATACTATTTTGATGTGTTCATAAAACAATTAATAACTCAGCCATAAAATAACTAATATCTAAGCCACAAAGTACCAAAAATCCAGCCACCATATAAACACTATCTCAGCCATCAGATAACTAATACCAAAAAACCCAGCCACTAGATACATACTAACTCAACCATCAAATACCCAAAAACCCAGCCTTACCTCGCCATGTTCTCTAATCTCCTCAGTAATGACAGTATCAAAACTTGAACGTGTACGCTTTCCACCTCATCGAAAAAGTGGAACTTCTTGCTCATTGACCACTCTCCTAAAACGCTCTCCAAAACAAGTGATAGATTCATACGCCCAAACAAATAGCACGTCCTTCAGACCGCTTATGGTGTATGTCATTACTTGTGGAAACATCTTAATATAGTCAACAAGAACTTCATATGCAGTCCGACCCCATGGATACGTCATCATGGCTTCATCATCGAATACTCTTTTTACACTTTCAAACGGTATCCTAGAATTATGATGCAAAGCATAAAGTCCCATGGCTTGAAGAAGTAACAGCCCTAACCGTTTACGCTTTTCAAAACTCCAGGCCGGACATACCTCTAATGTTGCCCTCAGTTCATCTAACTTGGGTCCTATCCCAAGCGGCAGATTCAACTCCTCCCAAAACGCTTTGTATTGGTCATGTTCAAAACTTTATGTTGGCACTGGATCTGTGTTTAACCCAGTGATCTCACCAAATTCGTGTAAGCTAAACCTGATAGGTTCATCACCAACTAGACTCCAAATCTCCTTCTTGTATAGTCGAAGCTGTCGACATAGTAGATAGTGGACAGTCCTACCAGACCACACGCTTTTGCGTTCAGCTAGTTTAACAATAATTCCAAGAGGACCCTGCTTCATGTGATCTCACACATCCCGTCCTATTGCTTCTCTGACGTTAGGGAAATCTCCCATCTGCAAATTGTGATTAATCTCTTTATTTTCTAGATTAGAAGCCCCTTCAACGTAAAGTCGTGGAGGATAATCCCGTGCTTGATCTTCAGATATAGCTATCTGATCCTAAAACACATACATATAAATCAGCAGCAATAGAAACAAAACTCAGCCACAACATAATAAATAACCCAGCCACCATATAACGCAGTCGTAATAGAAACAAAATAAGCCAAAACATAATCAATAAATCAGACAAAACATAATCAATAACTAAGCCAAACATAATCAATAACTCAGCCACAACATAATCTATAACTCAGCCA